AGAGAGAGAGAGAGAGAGAGAGAGAGATGAACTGCATAACAATAAAAAATGTAATCATAATAGGCTCAGACCAAATTGAACTTTGAAAAATATATTAATGCAGCTATTCAAATTAATGAATAAAAAATAGAATAGCTTCTAAGCACTTTCTCACTACATTTTCTAATATGATGTAAGATAAAACACAAGTCTGAATTGTTTCTTGTTTAAAAACAACATATAAAATTCGTTTAAAAATTAGATATCATTCTCTCTGCTCTCAAGCCGATATTGGTTACAATTTCATATTGCATCCAATTTTGTCTCTCTATTTTACGTCGCATCGACATCGAGGTCATTAGCGAGCATACAATTTTATATGCTGGTGAAATTTCATAATCAATAATCGAATCGGCTCTCAGGATCATGGTTCCAGGTACAAAATATAAGGTTTTAACATTAAGGATATAACAACATCGGTCGTTAAGTGTTTAAACTTTCGTAGACACGTCCTCGCGTACATAATATCATGCGCGTAAGCTAAGATATGTAGTGAGATAGTGAAAAATCCCCAAAAGCATGCGGGATGTTCATGTTACATAACATTACCATAAGATATCGATATAAACGATCTAACAATGATTTGTGATTATTTAAATCTGAAAAATAAAACATTAGTATTTTAAGTCTATAAAGAAATTCGCTAATAAACTTTCCTTATCATACTTTTTCTGAATATCGAGAAATTCATATTTTTTCTTTATATACTTTCTAATTTCAATTATCTAAGTAATTTATTTACGGCATGTGTTTTACTCAGTATTTACATTACATAGATACAAAATGAACACGTAATTTATTATATGCTAATAAAATCATCAACAATTCCATTGTAAAGTTACAGAATTAAATATTTTTATAAATTTAAAATATGGTCTAAGCCTAAAAATGAATCAAGTTGATTGCAAGCGAAAACAAATGTTATTTTAATAGAAACAAAACGTTTATATATATATATATGTAATACACGTTATTTCTTGCTGTACGAAATATTATTGAAAGGGTGACGAAATGCAATTAAAGTGTTACATACAAATACATGTATATATATGTATATACGCGTGTGTATATGTTTGATTCTAAAAATGATCTAGAAATACCAACGAATGCGATGAAAAAAAAGACGGATTGCTACTTACCATAATCGCCTCGTCCCATCTGTCCTCGCATACCTGCGCCAGTACCTCTAGGACCTTGACCTGGCCCACGAACTGGCATTGGTCCTCCCATCATACTTGGATGCGATGGAGAACCTCTGAAACAGAAAATATGATCATAAACAGAAAAACTTCAATAGTTTACATTCAAAATTTGCATTGAGTAATATATTAAAATATAAAGGTATCATAACCCACCCGCTTCGACCCTGGTACATTTGCTGCATTCTTCGTTCTCTAGCACGTAGCATCTCTTCCTTTTTCTTTTTATCAGATGGTGGTTTCGCGAGGGATACCTCGATATGAGAACCACCAATTTCTTTTCCATTCAATTCATTCATTGCCTAAAACGTGAAGAAAATAATAGTACGTTATAACTAATTTTCAACGGATATCAATATTAATATCGCGCACACATGTTATCAATAATATTTTACCTTAACAGCATTATCTCTCTCTTCGAAGTGAACGAAAGCATAGTCTTTGATCTTTTTTACCCTTTCAATATTACCATATTGCTCAAAATTTTCTTTTAATTTTTCTTCAGAACAATCTTGTGTCAAATTTTTCACATACAAAACACGTACCTAAAGTAAACACATTTTGGTAGATAATCCAATCGTTACACTCATATAACGTATATTAGTTTACTCACTTTAGACATGGTTTGTTCATCGGGTTCTTCCTGAGGATCAGCCCAATCAACTATGATATCACAGCTCCATACTTTGATGCGACCAGTACTTAGTCTTCGTTTGGCTAAAGAAGCAGCTTTGTGAGATTCATATTCTAAGAAGCAGAAACCTCTGTTTTTCTTCTTATCATCCGGGGAACTGTAGATAATCACCTCGGTCAGACCAGCTATATGATGAAAAATTACACAAACTAGATCAATCCATTTCAGCAGGCCATTAAGCAGATAACAAATATATATAAAGGACAATGAATTGAAAAGGAAAGACAAAAAAAGAAAGGAAACGAAAGCGGAGAAATAAACTAGGAAAGAAGAAAACAGATTAATTAATAAATTTCGTTGAATTTGTGCACGTGTGTTGTGTGTTGCGTGTGAGTGCGCGCGCGCGTGTGGTGTTGTCAGTACGCGCGCGTATGCATGTGTCCACAAAATAATCCATTTTAATTGATGAATGCTAATGTGTCGAAGAACTATGTTGGTTTGAAGAACCTGCTTCTGAGATGTTAAATGCGATGAAGTAAAACACTAATACAGGCAAGCGTAAGTTTGCTACGTGCAAACATTAAAGTCATTTCAAATAGATTCTTTAAAAGAACACGCATATCTTTTCTACGCCATGATAAAGAAGAACGAAACAAACTCAATAATTTTGTATATTACATGATTATTTTTTTAGGAATGTAATATGTCAAGATGTAAATAAAATGCATTTAATAAAGTAAATACAGAACAGTCGATGATTTGACAATCACTATTGTCACCAATGCTTGTTATTTCATAAAATTACATGTCCATTTATGCTATTCTTTATTATCGTATGTAAAAATGTATTATATATTTTAGAAAATATGAATATATGTACGTGGTTATAGATAAAGTTAGCGGATAAAGTAAAACTATATTAACAAGGAATAAAAGAAATTTTACATAAAATCAAATCCGTGTTAACATGAGCATGATTGGTAAGAAGTTAATCTTGAAATAACTTCAACGTTTATATTTCGCGATCTTACAACTACATGTACTAGCATCTATCTTCACCTCATCTTATTCTTTTAAATCAAATTTTTCAATTCAATATAGTTTCCAAGGTATTAGTATTTCGAATTAAAAATAACGAGACAATCCGATATGCGCACGCGCACGCGCGCGCGACAGTCAACCCTGCTACAATACGATTAATTCATTTCATGTTGCATTGAAACCGTGTCAAGCAAAACCTTAAATTAATAGAAATCGAGGAAATGCTGAAATGCGTGTTATATCAAGCCGTGTTCTTGGAGTGTCGTTCCCTGTATGAAAAGAATGCTACTAGTGAAAGTTGGAATGAACACAAACTAGAGAAACGTATTCCGTATTATATCGAAACCATATTCTCAGCATACCGTATGAGGTGTGTATGTACGAAAATCGTGGCAAATATCAGATATTTCTTAAATTTTTCATTCTACGCATACATATACTTTGATTCAATCATACGATATGGGAGTCATTTACGCTTATGAAGTAATAGTATATATAAACAGTTTTATTAGAATGCCGTGTTAAAAGAGGACTTGCAATTGTTCCACCGTGTTATATCGAAACCGTGTCATAAGAGGATTGACTGTTCTAAACGCACATACGCAGATGTAATTTTAGTCGCTTTGAATTATATGACTTAACAACATTCGAATTATTTAATTTTATATTACTTTGATATATTGTTAATATATCCGTAAAGCAATCTTGAATATATTATTGATCCAAAAGATATTTGGTATTAAATGAGATAAGAAAAACAATAATAATAGAATAATAGAATGGATACAAAATGAAGTAGTGAAAGGTGGAGGGAGAGGAATCGGGAGAGGGAGGGGGGGGGGGGGAGAGAGAGACCGGACGGACCGACAGACAGACAGACAGACAGAC